ACCAGAGATAGAACCATATAAACTATCTGAAATATTTTCAATAATACCAGAGTTTGACGGAGATCAAATCTTTTTAAGCAAACATTTCTAATGCATGTGTTTGTGCTTTGGCATGTCAACCGGTAACCAAAAACTCTATTAGTTATTCACATTAAAATAAAACTAAGAGGTAGAGCAGCCCAATTAATAAATTCTAGAAACCATATTCGTATTTTTGAAATAAAAACAACTTTAAATTCTCATTTTGGTGATACTAGAGATTTATCTTCATTAATTCAAGACCTCCAAAGAGTTAAACAACTACCAAATGAATCGCCTTTAATATTTTTTAAACAGAGTGCAAGTTCTTAATGCTAAATGCATGCAAATATTCAAAATCCAGTTTAACAAATAATGAAAACAAGTACAATTGTTTAATCGAATCTTATGGCATTAAATACATTATTAATAGGATTAGACCCATCGTATATAGGACATATTATTCAAAGTTAGTAATCCAAAGACATTATCGAAGCTCAAATTCGTATTCGAAGAAAAGTTACAACTTTCTTTATTTTAAAAATCAGAAACAAAAATAAATTGAATACAGTTAGATTTCCACAAAAATCAACTCTTATTAAAAGACCAAATTTGCCACCACCAAAGTGTACATCTTGCGGACGTTTAGGACATTTATCCAGAGACGATTTATGTCGTGCAAGACAAATGAATAATAATAATTATACTATTTTAACCCACAAAAATACCAACAATTCTTTTCAAAGACAGCTCAACATTTTGCCACAAAGTCAAATGTTAATCAAAGACCATATTTAACAAAATAATAATTCAAACAATCAACAACGCCCTTCTGCAATTCAACAACGCCCATCAGTAATTCAAAGAAATCTCAATTTGACACACAATCATAGAGCACATTTTGTAAATCAAGGATTATTCAACTTGATTATCGAATATTCAAACAATTATTCTGATAATTACTAAATAATTATTCTGAAAATTATTCTGATAATTTTTCAAATGATTACTTTTATGATACCTCTAAATTCTCAAGATTATTCAAATTATTACTCTGGAGCAAGAACAGATGACTATCAAACTACGATAATAGCTAACAGCAAAAATTTTCATTTGCGTTCCGACCAAACCATCCTCCAGATACACAGAAAACGGACACAAAACCTGAAATTCAAACTTTGAATTTAAACCACTCGAATCCTCAATCCCCAGAACAGAAATTTATTTAGAACCTTTTCACTGTAGACATTAAAAAGTTTATACTACATTAACGACATAACAAACACATATGGTAAAAATATTAATTGATACAGGTGCAGGAATTCTATTTTTAAAGAAAACACAGTTAAAAAAACATCCACAAAGAATACCAGAAAATATTTCAAATTAAAGGAATTACTAACCAGAAATTGTTAATAACTCAGTCTACTTTAATTCCTTTTAAAACAAATGATCCTCACAGTTTTTGGCTTACAACTTAGATATAGACTTTGACGGAATCTTAGGTTCAGATTTCCTCGAACATTATCACGCACAGTTGATTTAAAAAATAGAAAATTCATAACAAATTTTAAACGGTGCCTTTATTTAAAATTGAAGATACACTGAGAGAACAAAATTTAAATTCTGAACAAATTAAAATGAAATAAATATTAATGGAAGAACAGAACAAATTTTTAAATTAAATGTAATTTACAAAATACTGATGCAATTTTATCTAAACAAGACAAAGAAAAAGTTTATATTCCAAATGCGTTAGTTCATGTTAATGAACATGAGAATTTGGACATCAATACTCACTCAATGCTATTCCAAAAATCAATTAATTTTTCCGATATTCAAATTGAACCTTACATTTCACAAACAATTTAAATTATCAAACAAATAATAATTATCAAACAAATAATTATTTTCCAAATTCAAACTAAACTGATAGAATTCAAACAATAAATCACAACTTAGACTGATCATTTAAATGATGAAGAAAAAAGAACTTTATAACTAATTTATGTCTCGAATTTCAAGATATTTTCTATTTAGGAAATGATGTTCCTAACTTTTACAAATGCATTAAACACTCAATTGGATACAAACAATGCTAAACCAATATACCAAATCTTACAGATACCCACAAATGCACAAAGAAGAAGTTAGAACACAAATCAATAACATGTTAAAAGCAACGTATTATTCGTCCTTCAATTTCTCCCTTGGTCCTCCAGTTTGGATTGTTCCAAAAAAATTAGAGGCTTCTAAAAACAGAAATATGCATTGTTATTGATTATAGGAAGTTAAATGAACTTTACAATCGATGATAAGTACCCCTTACTCTTAATACTGGATATTTTTAGATCAGTTAGGTAAATGTGAATATTTCTCAACATTTCTGACCTTGCTTCAGGATTTCATCAAATTGAAATCAACTTCAGATATTTCCAAAACGGCTTTTTCTGTAGAAAATGGTCACATGAGCTGTCAGAATGCTACTGACTTAAAATGGACTTTTCAACGAGTCATGGAATAATATTTCTTATTAGGAATTCAAAATGAAAGATGTTTAGTTTTACATGGATGATATAATAATTTATTCTCCAACTATTCGCTTTTGGACACATTTCCAGATCTCCTTAAAGAAGTTTTTCAAAGGATACAAAGGCAAATCTTAAAATACAACCAGATAAATGTAGTCTCTTAAAAAGAAGTTGCATTACTTAGGACATTTAATAACTACAGAAGGTGTTAAACCCAATCCAGAAAAGTTTCGCTTATTCAAAATTTTCATAACTCAAAAAATCCGAAAGAAATAAAATCTTTCTTAGGCTTAGCTGATATTACCGTCGATTTATCTCAAATTTTTAAAATTATCAAAAGCCTTTAACAAGACTTTTGCAAAAAAGATGTTCCATTTATTTTTAATCAGGATTGTTTAGATTCCTTTGAAGAATTAAAGAATTCTTTTGACTTCAAATCCTATTCTGATATATCCAAATTTTGGAAGAACCTTTCCTGTTAAACAGATGCTAGTGCTTTTGCTATAGGAGCCGTTCTTTCACAAGGACACATAGAAAAGATTTCATTTATTGATTTTGCTTTAGAACCCTTTGCGGCGCTGAAACAAAATATTCCACTATAGAGCGTGAACTTCGCGAATCGTATGGCAGTTAAACATTTTCGTCCATATCTTTTTGGTCGTAAATTTCATTCTTAATAACAGATTATCGCCCTTTAACATTACGGTTATTTTCTATTAAAGACCCTGGCAGCAGATTAGCTCGTTGGCGTTTAAAACTTGAAGAATATGATTACAAAAATTATTCATAAATCTGAAAAAGCAAAATAAAAAAATGGCAGATGCTTTATCTAGAATTAAATCAATCATTTTAAAAAATGCGCACAATTTATTTCAAAAAACAAATTTTCCTATTTTTGCCTCAAACGAAAATACAATTGATAGTGAACATGAAAATGAAAATGAAGATTCTGATAATGATATTGATATCGATGATAGAATTAAAAATGAATATAATAAATTTGTCACTTTATATGACTCTCAATCATTAATTGATTATTCAAAAATAAATATTACTAATAATCAATTATTTAATTAATTAACAACATAATTAACAACATAAAAATATAATGCCAAAAGAATGTATTCGGCAAAATAAAATACAAGAATTTCATCATAAAATAATTGACGACATATTAGAAGAAAATCCAGACTTTCATTTAAAAAGAATAAATATTTTTAATAGTAAAACTGTTAAAAACAGGAAATACTATATATAATCCTCCCTGATTGGATCCAACTACAGTAGTTTCTTTTATTTTATATTTTATATAAAGAACAAATGAATTTAATTTCAGTAGAAACCTACTACGTTAAAATCCAAATAGAACTTCCAATATTGAAAATATTTTCGTATATTTTCTAAGATAAAGAAATTAAATTAACAATTTGTCAAAATAATATTGTTAGAACTCCAGTAGATGTATGAAAACCTCAAATATTAGATTATTAATCGTAATCACAAGATAAATTTCACCGAGTGCGAAATCAAACATATTTAACGAACATTTTGAAAAAAGAATTTTTTTTTAATTTTGCCGGTTTAATAGAATTACCCCTGAAACTCAAACATCTAAAATTAATTTTGTTTTGAAAAAAAAAATGTTTTTAATTAAATTGTTTAATTTAATCGTGATATGGTTAATCACGAATACTTTTCAGATTTAGTTGACATTACTATCCATAGTATACTCCCAGTATGTTATTACACCAATCAACAATACAGTCGGAGTGTACCACATGAAGATGGGACAAATAAAAGTATCCAATGATAAATGGACACTATTAAATTTATAAAGATTTAGAATTAATCAAAATACTATTTTAAATAATGATAAAATATTAGATTTAAGGCTTTCAAACACTTTAGAAGAAGACGCACCACGAATGATAGCTTTTAAATCAAGTTAAACGCATATAAGTCTTTTTATTAAGCAAATATCAAGATCAATTAATACAAAATATAATGAAATAATACATACGAATAAGTATATTTATAGAGAAAAGCGTGTTATATTTAATGGCATTGGGACAGTATGGAAACCAATAACCGGTAATTTAGATGCTTCTGATGAATATTATAATGATTGTATAAATAAAATAACTAAAGATGAATATCAAATAGAAAACTTAAAAATCAAATATCTGTAACGACATCTATAACAAAGTTTTAATTCTACAATCTGTACCATAAATCGATGAAGAGACTTTAATAATGATATAAAAAGAAATAAGAAAATCAATAATGGACATTTCAGATCAATTAAATTATTTCCAATCACAAATTGATATTTTAACATTTGTGAATCTCTTATGGAAAGCTATACCTTTTTTAGAAAATCAAATTGATGATATTATAAATTCAATAACTTTGCAAGGTTAAAAATATTGCATAGTTCTATAAGTACTCCAAATGACTTGGTTGACTCAAGAAGTTATTATATCTCAATCATTAAAGAGAAATAATCTTCCATTAGCAATTTCTGCCACATCGATATCTCAGTATCTAGATATTATCGAATTGAAAGCTTATCAATTAGATTCTAAAGTAGTATTTGTTCTAAATATACCTTTAGTTGAACCTGAAGAGTATACTTTATATCGAATTTATCCAATTCCTTTATTAAGTACAACTTCTAAATATCTTGCGCGTAGCGATGATTCATTGATATACATAATAATTGAAGATCCAGAAGCTTGCAAATCAACAGGCAGAAACACAAAAATTTGTTCCAACATATATCCATATCCAATCGATAGTGATGGTATATGTGAAGCTCAACTATTGAAGCAACAAGATCACTTGCCAAGAACCTGTCAATCTTCTTTGATCATGGCAAAAGAATATAACATAAACAAATTAAATTTAAACTTTTGGTTAATAATTATCTCAGATCCTTTACCATTAACAACTAAATGTGGAAATAGAGACATTATTACAAAAATCTTAAATAATAATACTCTTTTAAAGTTACAAAGTGAATGTATTGGTTTTGTTGGCAGTACAAGAATTCAAGGTCAAAAAGACATTAATGTTTATGATAATGTAACATACAATACTTTTCCAATTCAAATACCATATTCCTGAGAAGATCAAGATTCCAAATCTGAAACCACTGAAATTAAGCAAACTGAATCTAGAAGATTTGAGTGTTGCAAATCACAAGTTAAATGAATATTCCGAACAATTGAACAATTTGATCAATGAACCTTTTGTGAAGAAACACCATGGTTGGCTTACAATTTTAACCATAATTGTAATTGTCACCTTGGTCCTGATTTACATCTTCTGCAAATGCAAATCCCGTAGAAGATCACGAATTGGAATTGCAATTCTCATGATGACTACCCACCATCACCTTGCCATCAAGTTGAATCTGTTTTCTCCAAATGGAAGAAAATACTGGCCTCGTAGAAGACCCAGTATCCATTTAGAAGAACCTATTGAAGAAGAATCTTTTGAACTTAATCCTAACAAGAATTCAGTCTAAAAGTTATCTCCACGCGTTAACTTTTATCTAAAAGGGGAGTTGCTATATCCATATTTAACCTTCAAATGACCTTTATTTACTTTATAATACTTATTTATTGTTATTCATTGTTTATTCCAAAGTTAAACGTATAAGTTCGTTCTAATATAACTCATAAACAATCATATTATGTTTCTTGAGAATCTTTCCAACTACGATGTTCCCATGGTCTCTTCAGTAAACAAGTCGCAGTTCCATGATGGGAAGCGAAGACTCAGCAACTTTAAGAATATTTAAGCCGATCTCTCTCCCAGGAACAACAACTCGAACGCACAACGCACAACTCTCGAACGCAACTCGTATCCGTGTCGTATCGAAGTTCATATAATTCATTTATTTTACTTTGTTAAATTTTAAAACTTAATAAAGTGTTTTAAAGTATTTTAATGTTTTTTTAAAATAATAAAAGTGAAAGATAAAATCTAACATATATAACTTTCAAATATCAAAGGTTTGAGGTGAGGTTATAATAAGTTGAAGCTTTAAAAAACAAGAAAAAACACAATGTATTTAAGAAAATAGAAGAAATATGGCTTTAAATATAATATGCACACATCATATTATTTAGACCTCTCATACAAAGCAAAATTATTCATAATATCAATACATAATTTATTAACGTAGTTTTCATGTAGTTAATAAACGGGAAAAGACGTAGTTTTTGAAGAAAAACTACACGTAGTTAATCAGGTAAATTACGTCTTAATTAACTACTTCCGAACCCTGGCTGGGGGTTGTTGATGTTGATAATGGGTTGATTATGGGTCGATCCTTGGGATTGATATTTGATATTAATGATTCTCTTTGATGATTCTATATCAAATACAAATATAATTTAATACCTTGATAGAAAGAATTGTTCTACACACATGAAAAGCTGATGCTGTTGGTTAACGAATAAAGATATTTTATAATTATTTATTGATATTTTGAAAAACTATCCAGATTGCGCATAATATATATTTTCATTTAAAACCGCCAAAAATTTCTTGAACAGGAAATAATTAAAAAGAGATGGCCATTTTGTGAACCCTTATAACAACATTTCGCGGATAGTGTAGGGGCTGTTTAAAACAGCCGCTATAATACACTATCCCCGAAATGTTTTACGAAATATTTCTGGAAATTCGCGTATGCTCCGTCCGGATGATTTCGTCTGACGGCTATCTTGAAAAAAGAAACAGCACAAAAACAGCGCGGACGCTCCGCTCTATCTGAAAGCGCTGTAAAGGTGCAATTTCGGTGCCGTGGCTGGCTGCGGCGGCTAGCAGCTGCGTCTCTAGCCGCTGCACTGGTTTGTACAGTTTCAAATGGAACCAATTTGGCTTGCGCAGCGTGACTAGAGGCGGCAGCCCGCGCTGCAGCGGCTGCTGTTCGACTCATGTTCCGCCTATCATGCGAGCAGTCAGAGTTCGAGACACCGGGTCAGGGCGGAAACTTTTTTATTTTATTTTCGTTTATATTCTATATAATATATGATATAATATATTCTATATGGATAGTAAAGTATTAAATAATTCTGGTGATTCAAAAAAACGAAATATTTAATACTTTACTATCAGAATATAAACGAAAATAAAATAAAAAGTTTTTGCCCTAACCCGGTCTCGAACTCTTGACTGCTCGCTTGATAGGCGGAACCTCTACGCGCTGAGCTATGGAAAGTCTGTCGGTTTATATTCAATACTAAAATTTAAAGGACTAATAAAAATATAGGATATTCTTCAGATGCGCAGTAGTGAACGCAACGGGTATCGACAACCAGATGGGCCACATGCTGTCCCAGAGAGCATAGTAAACTTTGAATAAGAAGACTAAGGAAGGAGCATATCAAAAATCTTAGGTACACCGCGATGGGCCTCAAATATGGCCGACTTAAATTCCGGTTTATCAGTGTCGTTCTAATTTTATTTAAAAAATGTAAAACTATGATGTAGGGTAGACGTGGGGTAGACTTAATAATTTGTTGTTTTATTTTACGTTGTGAATAAATGTTGGTAGTTATTAAAATTGTTATAAAAATATATAATTCTAATAAAAATAGATAAGTTATAATAAGTATTTATTAACACAAACATCCGATACGCTACTGAAGCAGGTAAGTCAAATTAACGTATCTAAATTCTTTGACATCTAATCTTTGACAAGTAATAAATAAAAGCTAAAAATGCAAAGAAAATATATAATTTAGTTAATTTAAGTGAATTTCATAAATGATCGGTTTACTACACGTATGTATATTATATAGTCACTTACTAGCGAAAAGTTGTTCCATTATTTCACTCAATTTTTGCCGAGATCTACCGCACGCTACACAACCAACTATTTTAGAGTCTTTTTCGATAAATCGCGATAGTGTCACTGTTAATTTAAGTTCTGCCACAATTTCCATCTAGATTTACTACCTTTATACAACTATCAGTAGTAGAATAAATAATAAATAACATAAAATAAGCTCCGTAAAGACTGACAAATCCACAAAATTTCAAATCAAATTCAAATGTGTCAAATGAATCGTCAAACAGAACTGTCAAGGATCCCCACCCTAGAGAGCTTTTATGGTGGCTTTTCCGCCCACCATGCATGAATACATGGATAGCATTATGCTCCTTCCTTAGTCTTCTTATTCAAAGATAGTAAAAGATATATCAAAGATATATCCTATAAAAAAAAAAAAAAGATTTATCCTAAAAATTTATTATCTCATATATCAAAGATATATCTTTTACTATCTTAAAATACTTTCTCAAAAACGTTGCTAGCTCTTAGACTAAATTTTCCACTATCCTCTTGATTTTCTCGTTTTTTTGTTGGTTAACGCATAATGTATGTAGATATATGTATATGCTGCTGCAGAATTCATGTTTGAAACATTACTGGAAATGGAAAAATATGTTTCGTTTGCTGCTCGGTTCGCTAAAAACAAGTTTTTTATTTTTCGTCTTCATTTGCCATTCCGTTTGTTGTTCGTTGCAACATTCAGTTCTGTACGAAGCTTAAGAATAATGGTTTACCTAATATTTACTTAATTTTGAAGTAAACATCTGCATACTTTATTTATTTACTTTAAAAAAATATGCGATAGTAACATGTTTTCAGGGGTTGAAAGTTAGGTGTTTTGGAATTGTTCAAAATTGTGAAATTTTTGCAATAAGTTTGAGGCCGTATTATATTTTTATTTTTTGAAATTAAATTTAACTTCATTATTAAAAAGCATTGCGGAGGATTAGTTTGCGTTTTTAAACTACTTTAAGATGCATATACAGGGTGGTCCGAACTGTATTCCGGAAACTTCGGCAGCATATTCTGCAGATTAAAATAAGTTAAAAATTTCGTATAAATGTATGTCCTAAAATGCTTAGTTTCGGAGATACAGGGTGTAAAAATTTCATTTTTATTTCCACATTTTTTCCAAATAATTTAAGAAGTAACGTCAATATTTGAATGAAAATTGGTGTCTGGGAGTTTTTGACAATGAGAAATTTGATTTTCATGTCAATATGACTCCTACTTGTAGAGGGCGCCACCTACATATGCTTTAACTGGTTTGAAGAGTAATAACTTTTCATCCATACCTGTATAAAACTACTGAGTAAAAAAATACACATTTACAACTTTTTTACATAAAAAAGATCTCTTGGTAAAAATCGCTACGAGTAATGGTTCTCGAGATATTTGAAATTGAAATTATCAATACCTGTCATGATTGACAAATTAAACATGTTGACAATGTTGACCAAATAGTTATTAGACTGAAATCTTAAATTTGAAATCTTTTTGTACCAAAAGTTCAACAGAAATTGTTTAATCATCATTTTCTCGCAGAAAAAATTATGATTAATTTAAAAAAAATAAAAATTTATTATTTCAGTCAAATAACTCTATTCAAGGTGTGCTTATTTTTTGTCAATAATGACATGTATTGACTATTTCCATTTTAAATATCTTGAGAACGGTTGCTCGTAGCGATTTTTACCAAGAGACATTTTTTACGTAAAAAGTCATGGAAATTTATATTTTTTTAGTCAGTAGTTTTATACAGGTACCGTCGAAAAGTTATTACCCTCAAAACAGTCAAAACGCATGTAGGTGGCGCCCCCTACAAATAAGAGTCATTTTGACATCAAAATCAAATTTCTCGTGTCACAAAACTCCCAGACACCAATTTTCATCCTGATATTGACGTTACTTCAGAAATTATCTAGAAAAAATCGAAATAAAAATGAAACTTCTACACCCTGTATCTCCGAAACTAAGTATTTTAGGACATACATTTATACAAACTTTTTTACTTATTTTTATGCGCAGAATATGCTGCCGAAGTTTCCGGAATACAATTCGGGCCACCCTGTACATAGACTGATTGACATTTACACTATAATACACAGGGTGGTCCGAATGTATTCGGGAAACTTCGGCAGCACATTCTGCAGATAAAAATAAATAAAAAAGTTCGTATAAATTGTTGCCCTAAAATGCTTCGTTTCGGAGATACAGGATGTAGAAGTCTCATTTTTATTTTTGTTTTTTCCAAATAATTTCTGAACTAACGTTGATATTCGAATGAAAATTGGTGTCTGGGTGTTTTTTGCACTTCGAGTCTTGATTGCTAGATCCAATGATTAAATCCAAGGACAAATAACACCCGAGAGCAAAGTGAGGATGTCACCAAACAGTGCAGTGGCACATATTTTTCCTAACCTAGCTGTTTGAAGAAGAGATATTTATATTTTTTGATAAATGTTTTTACTACGCCTATGGTGTATACGGTGGTATCATACTAATTACGAAAAAAAAACGTATTAAAATGTTAACAAAAGGTACAAAACTAGTATCGACGTATAGCACACATCAAGTACATATAACATGAGAAAAAAAATTATCGAATTCAATAAGAAAACTAAGAAAACGCTAAAAAGGTGGAGCGGACTGTTTATTTACCTATCAAACGTGACTCCTGGCTCTTCCTTATCGCTGCTGCCTTTACACCTGAAAGCTGAACAACTAATCACTATTGTAATAAAGTTTATACAAAAGTTCACTACACACAAACTATTAAAGATCGCTAAAATTGTCGCTGGTGACCAGATGATGACTCATTGTTTGCCATCAAAAGAATGGCGTCTACAAATTCTGCTGCAGCCCGTATATGGGCGTTACATGTCCTTATATTCTTTAGTTATTGGCTAGATCGAAGCATCCAGCAAAGTCGGCCTGATAATGGGGATAAATCCCCGAAACCAGACGTCGGATGGCTGTTTCCTTCGGTTTGATGAACTTGATGCAGAAATTAGCACACTTGTAAGGGTTAAGGCTTTTTGTGCTTTTGTATACTATAGCTTACTTCGGGGTTTTCTTATTACCGATTCTGAACTGTCCTAGAACTGTGATACGAATGCGCAGAAGGAAATATGAAGAAATTACTTCATTTACGCATGCGCTGCATTAATACACATTCTTATTTAATATATTGTTACGGATTCCGTGGGTCCACTATTTAAACTCACGATAAAATACTTAACGAATTTATTTGTTTCACTCTGTACACACAACTTATACTATTTACAACACAACTTATGCAACTACTATTACTCTAACGGTATTTCGCGGTATTTTCAAACTTCAGACTTCAGACTATTTTCAGACTTCAGACTTCAAACTTGCCCAACTGTCAAAGCGCGGGCCTTATATACCCCCTGGCGGTTGTTTCTAGATTTTTCTAAAGAGTTCTATAATTTTCTTTACTTTCTGGCGAATGCGCGAGGTTCCTCAATGCACGTTGCGATTTTTAGCAGTATGCAGTTATGCAACCAGTAATACACCTTGATCAAGGTTTCCTGTCTGGTATCTCTTCAATCGATCCAGATGAACTACTTTCATCTTACTTCTAGGGCTGCGTTGAATCCGGTACACAACATCATTTATCCTCTTGATGACTGTATAAGGACCTTCCCATGCTGGAGTTAACTTTGGGGACCTTCCTTTCTTGCGCTGTGGGTTATACAACCATACCCTATCGTCTTGTTGAAATCCCGTAGAATTAGCTCTGAGGTCGTAACGAGCTTTCATCCGGTCACTGGCTAGCGTAATCTTACTTCTCACGGCCTTATGAATTCCCAATAATCTTTCCTTCCTAACGATTCTTTCGAACGACAGTCCAACGTTATCTTGTCCATTTTTCCTCCAGATCGAGTACTTGGTCCTTGTCTAGCTGCGCAAATCTTACAACGTTGACACCATTTCTTAACATCTTCACAATAATCCACCCAGTAAAAACGGTCTCTCAGCTTGCTCAGGGTCTTGTTTACCCCAAGATGGGCTCCAGTTTTACCACCATGAATTTCTTCCAATACCTGGGTGACTTTCTTCCTTGGTACCAGTAACTGAGTTGTTACGGTCCTGCCATCCGCACTTTCCCACGTGCGCTTTAACAATCCATTCTCAATCACCAGTGAATTCCACTGAGCCCAGAGAGCTTTGAAAACCAGCCCTCTGTCCGCAATATCCTGCGACGGTGGTCTCTCGCCGTTACCTTCCTTGAGCCGTAGTATTGCTCCGATGTCTGGATCTTCCATTTGATCTTTCCTCAATTGTAACGTCGTCCATTGTTCGTCAGTTCTCAGTTTAAAATTCTTTACTCTGATAGTGCTTTCGCGATGTTGCATTTTCTTGTCCAAGGTAGCTCGTCGTCGATCTAGGTCGTTGTCGATAATTTGTACCCGTCCTACACGGCACCCAACGGTTTCTCTAGTTTCCCGAACACAGTCTTCTTGGTATCACCAGGTATCATCACAATTTTCGATGATCTTTCTTCCATATTTCCTGGTCTCTTCTCTTTAGATACAGAAAATTCCTCATTTCCGATTTTCCGGATGTTTCTATGGTGATCAAACGAAAAACCATGTTGACTGATCACATCCATACCCATGATAAAATCATCTTCAATGTCTGCCACTAAAACGCTATGCCGAAACTTCAAATTCCCTAACTCCAATTCCATGAAAGCCTCTCCCCGTACAACGGCCATTTTCCCCGTAACTGTACGTAAATACACTCTTCTTCTAAGAGGCATCATCTTCAATCCTTGCACTGAGTTAGTCCGCACCAACGATACCATAGCGCCTGTGTCCATAGTCATTCGAATTCTTCTACCATTGACCTTCCCGTTGATCACCAAACTGTCAGCGGTTTTCCTAGACTCTAACGGAAAACATCCTAGGGGCTCTGTTTTCTTCAGCCAATACTCGCTCATTAGTGTTGATTTCCTGGTGCCTATGTTCTCTCGATGGTAAACGGAATCGCATTTGGACACGGCAATCCCGTTTGATGTGGCCATTCCTGCCACATCTATAGCAATTTATGTCCTGGGATCTTCCGATGTGCCGATGTTCTCTTAATGATGAACGGAATGGCATTTGGATGCGACAATCCCGTTGGATATTGCCATTCCTGCCACATCTATAGCACCTAATATCCTGGGATCTTCTCTGGTTCTCTGTCTGGGTGTTGTTGACTCTCTTGTTCACTAGTAATTCACATAGTTTATTAAACATCTCCTCCAAACGTATGTGAGAACTCTTTGGCTGTTCCTCAACCGTTACTGAGCCTATCTTCGGTTTAGGAATGGCGCTAAATGCAGCTTCTATTTCCAGCGCCCTGATGAGTACTTCGCTGCTGGTAGAAAATCGCGATATTTGCAGCGCCCTCTGTAATTCATTGTCCCTCAGTCCGCTGATAAAGCACTGAGCAGCGAGTTCCTCCCTAAATCCTTCCGGTGCTTCAGGATACGCTAGGTGTACCAGCCGACGTAAGTCTGCTTCAAATTCCTGCAGACTCTCTCCGGACCTCTGCATGCGTGTCTTGATCTGGGCCTGGTAAAGTTGACGTCGATGTTGGTCGCCATATCTTCTGTCCAGTGCAGCAACCAATGTTTCGTATTCCTGCTGTTGGGCTGCAGGAATAGTTTGCAGCAGTTCCAAGGCAGGGCCACGCAGCGCGATGGCAAGTGCCGCTGCTTTGTCCTGGTCGGACCATCCGTTGGCAGCGGCGGCTGCTTCAAACTGGCGGTGGTACATCGTCCAGGTGGTTTGTCTATCGTAGGTCGGGGCCTTAAGGTTTGCAGTTCCAGGAACGCCAGGTGTCCTTGCTTGTGCCTTGGTCTTCTGTAGGTCCTTCTCTAATTTTTCCATTTTCTGTTGAAGGCGCTCCTCCAGATCTTCTACGGCTTCTTGAAGGTGTATTTCTTGTCTTTTTTCCAGATCTTCGAAGTTCTTTTTAAGACGATTTTGAACTTCTTGTCTTTCTCTATGACGTCGCTCCTCCAAACGAATTTCTAAATTACCTAATATTTTCTCAAGTCGGTCCTGTTCTTCTTGTTTATCTTGTTGTCGTTGAATTTTTAAATCTTCAAAAATTCTCTCAAGCCGGTCCTGTTCTTCTTGTTTGTCTTGTTGTCGTTGAATTTTCAAATCTTCGAAAATGTTGTCAAGCCGGTCCTGTTCTTCTTCTTTGTCTTGTTGTCGTTGAATTTTCATATCTTCTAAAATTTTCTCAAGCCGGTCCTGTTCTTCTTCTTTGTCTTGTCGTTGAATTTTCAAATCTTCGAAAATTTTGTCTTGATTTTCCAGAATTTTCAGTAGGCGGTCTTGTTCTTCTGCTTTCTCTTTTCGCAGCTTCTCTTGTTCTTCTGCCTTTTCTCTTCTCATATTCGCCATAAAATCACCTAATAGTTTGCTTACTTCCTCCATTTTCTTCGCTTGTTCCCTTGTACCAACCATAAAAATACTCTAATCCGGTCCAAAAATCTTCCAATCCACTTAATTTCTTCTTAAAATCTTCTTGAATCGCACTTCCGACACCAATTGTTACGGATTCCGTGGGTCCACTATTTAAACTCACGATAAAATACTTAACGAATTTATTTGTTTCACTCTGTACACACAACTTATACTATTTACAACACAACTTATGCAATTACTATTACTCTAACGGTATTTCGCGGTATTTTCAAACTTCAGACTTCAGACTATTTTCAGACTTCAGACTTCAAACTTCAAACTTGCCCAACTGTCAAAGCGCGGGCCTTATATACCCCCTGGCGGTTGTTTCTAGATTTTTCTAAAGAGTTCTATAATTTTCTTTACTTTCTGGCGAATGCGCCAGGTTCCTCAATGCACGTTGCGATTTTTAGCAGTATGCAGTTATGGAACCAGTAATACACCTTGACAATATTCATAAAAAAATGCTGCCTCAGTCTGCCCCCCTCAAAGATAATAATTAAAAATGATTTAAACACGTGTTTTTTTCGATTTGTGTTATAATTACAATAACTATATAATAATGTTTTAACTTTCCCCGAATCCCCAAAAAAATTAATTGGAATATAGTAAATTACACTCGTCACTTTCATGGCATTTGCTGTCTACATTCAAACATATACACTTAAGTATAAAGATCATTATATTACATTTATTACTTTACATTATTTAATTCAAAGAAATACAAAAAATATACATATATTAGGAAAATATATCAATAACACACAGTAGCGGCTCGTGGCTTGTGAGACTGGGTAGGCGACAAAATTAATACATCTTCAAATAATCAAATAATTACATCTATTTGTTCCCCAAAATTTACATAATATCTTAACCCAGTTCGTAAAAACTAATATATTAGCTTATGGGTTAAAACACGGCTTAAGAATATTTAGGACAAAACTAAACTAACGAAATTTTTTATCTTTTATCGAGATCTACCACCCCTTAAAATACTTGCAGTTATTTCTGGGATACCCTGTATATTAAATTGATTCGCCGATCTCTTAATAATGAAAATTTATTTATTATTATATCAGTAATGTTATCAGATTGTTGAAGGGCTATGAAAATATCTTTTTCGATTGAAAGTAGGGCAAATGACGATCAGCGTTTATTTTTCATTGAATTTCTAGTATAATTTTTAATGCGTTTCAAATATGAAAAATGTCTCTCAGTAATACCTGTCTCTCAACCGAAGTACTTGTAAATGTATGTATTGTATACGTCGCATAAATTGTATGAATTGGATTATCCATATTGAAAATCGACATTAATTACTCCAAATTTTAATCTAAATTAATACTTATCCGTATCTCCTCCTTATTAACTTAGAAATTAACATCCAAATGCACTGTACTCTAACAGGAACACCAAATGCACTGTACACAATCATTGAAGTCAATAATAGGCAGTCGATAAACAGGTTTTAATTAAAGTTTTAAATACTGATAACATAATGATGAATAATATATTATGGGAACCACCGAATTTCTAAAACCTATCGAGATCCAAGCGCATGCCGAGGCGACCGAAGATATCGCCTAAACCCCGCCTTAATTCGACGTAGTCATCGATTTCCATCGCTACCGAGCGATGAGTTAGAGAGAGACAAAAGACACACATCGACGGCTGAGTGGGAGATCATAATTTAATTTGAAAGGCGATGCTAGAAATCGCCGAACGAAGATGAATGCATTATACACCAACGGTCAAAATTATTTTGATTTCTAACGCTGTATACGCCAGCGGTAGTTAATATATTAATATAAAAGACTACAAATATTAAATTAATATTAATTGTTACAACTCATTTCCGTGTATTAATAGTATTTATATATGTATTGGCAACATTAATAAATATTATAATGTAAAAAAGAAATCTGACAAAATTGTAGGGTAGGCGCCGCCTACCTTGCCTACCCTGACGAGCCGCCACTGATAACACATACATTCATAATTTTTTTTTTTTAAGAATAATCCTCTTGATCATCGCTGTTTGTTGACATTTGTAAAAATTGTGCTTGTTGAGCAGCTGCCTGCAGCTGTTCCCATTGCTGCTGGTCAGCATAGGCCTGTTCCTGTCTTGCTTTCGCAAATAATTCTTGTTGCTGTCTCAATAATTCTTCTTCGGGAATACCCAGATTTTCTAATCTTGTACTCTGCCTGCGTCGTTTTGCTGCTACTGCTTTACAGTCTTTTAAAACAGCCTCTGCTTCGGCATGGTAATCACTAAACCCCAATTTATCCAGAGCTATAATTTCAGTAAACAAACATTTACAGTTAAATCTGCTCCGGTGTTACTTGGGTAGTTTAACCATAGAGTATACAAACTACCCAGTTGTCTGAATATTTTGATGAAAAATTATACATCTAATAAAATGACTACATATACATATGTATTTGTTGGTTTTTGGTAGGCTGCTAGTTTATACGAATTAATTCTGGTTTTTGTCTTATTTCCAAACTATAATATAGTATATGCATAAAGCATGCACTTAAATATGCCTAAGAGTCCATTTGACTAGTGCGAAAAAGTAGCAAAATAAGCGTTCGGCATTTAACGTTTTATGTAAAATTGGCTACGTATTTTTATACAAATCAAGAAGGAAATTGACGATAAAGGATTATACTATACCTATCTGTATTATAATATATTTTTAGACAACTTCTCTATTTTTAAGATTTTGATGGTCAGACATCAACCAAATATTCCTTATGTTTGGACTAAATATTCTCGAAAATAAAGACAATTTAAAATTCCGTTGCAATACGGAAATAGATTGAAGTTTTGTGATTACAGTGATATATAATTTATATGGTTTTGTCACGAATTGCTCGCTATTTTATGGCAAATACTGAAACTCTGCAAATCTTAACACGCGTGTTTGGAATTTTGGGTGTGGCTTAACACGACAAGATCAGGCTAAACCTTAGGCAGATTTCTGAAATATAATATATTGTTACGGATTCCGTGGGTCCACTATTTAAACTCACGGTAAAATACTTAACGAATTTATTTGTTTCACTCTGTACACACAACTTATACTATTTACAGCACAATTTATGCAACTACTATTACTCTAACGGTATTTCGCGGTGTTATCAAACTTCAGACTTCAGACTCGTCCAACTGTCAAAGCGCGGGCCTTATATACCCCCTGGCGATGGTTTCTCGAATTTTCTAAAGAATTCTGTAATTTTCTTTTACTTTCTGGCAAATTCGCCAGGTTCCTCGATGCACGTTGCGGTTATGCAACCAGTAATACACCTTGACCTTAACATTGCCCCCTTCTCAAATTTGATCGTCCCGATCAAGGTTTCCTGTCTGGTATCTCTTCAATCGATCCAGATGAACTACTTTCATCTTACTTCTAGGGCTGCGTTGAATACACATCATTTATCCTCTTGATGACTGTATAAGGACCTTCCCATACTGGAGTTAACTTTGGGGACCTTCCTTTCTTGCGCTGTGGGTTATACAACCATACCCTATTGTCCTGTTGAAATCCCATAGAATTAGCTCTGAGGTCGTAACGAGCTTTCATCCGATCACTGGCTAGCGCAATCTTACTTCTAACGGTCTGATGAATTTCCAATAACTTTTCCTTCAGTTCATCCGCGTAGTCCTCTACGTTCGTGGTGCTGTCGTCTGGTGATCCGAACACCAAGTCACAAGGCAACCGTAATTCTCGACCAAATAAAATCGTCGATGGTGAAAGTCCGGTGGTGTTGTGAACTGCACTTCTATATGCCATTAGGAATAGTGGTATATGCTGATCCCAATCTCTTTGATGTTCATCCACCATCTTCGAGAGATGTTCTTCAATGGTCTTATTGAATCTCTCGACCATCCCATCAGACTGCTGATGTAAAGCCGTTGTCCTAGTCTTGTGAATGCCAAGCAGATCACACATCTTCTGAAACAGTCTTGACTCGAAGTTCCTTCCTTGGTCAGTGTGAAGCTCTAAGGGAATTCCAAATCTACTGAAGACATTATTGACTAATACTTCAGCTACAGTCGATGCTTCTTGGTTTGGAATGGCAAAAACTTCTGGCCATTTACTGAAATAATCCATCGCCACTAAAACGTACTTGTTGCCCTTGTGCGTTTCAGGGAATGGGCCTGCAATGTCAACAGCGATTCTTTCGAATGGCAGTCCAACGTTATATTGTTTCATTTTTCCCCTAGATCGAGTGCTTGGTCCTTGGCTGGCTGCACAAATTTTACATTGTCGACACCATTTCTTGACATCTTCGCAATAATCCACCCAGTAAAAGCGATCTCTCAGCTTGCTCAAGGTCTTGTTTACCCCAAGATGGGCTCCAGTTTTACCACCGTGAATTTCTTCCAATACCTGGGTAACTTTCTTCCTTGGTACCAGTAACTGAGTTGTTACTGTGCTGCCATCCGCACTTTCCCATGTGCGCTTTAACAATCCATTCTCAATAACCAGTGAATTCCACTGAGCCCAGAGAGCTTTGAAAACGAGCCCTCTGTCCGAATATCCTGCCACGGTGGTCTCTCGCCGTTACCTTCCTTGAGCCGTAGTATTGCTCCGATGTCTGGATCTTCCATTTGATCTTTCCTCAATTGTGTCGTCGTCCACTGTTCATCGGTTCCAAGTTTAAAACTCCTTATCATGACAGTGCCTTCACGTTGTTCCGTTTTACAGCAGTGCTTACAATCGGTTTGACAGGGTCTTCTGGATAAACCGTCTGCGTTACCATGCATTTTTCCAGCACGATGTTGGATGGTAAAGTGATACTGTTGGAGCTTCTCGAGCCATCGTGCTATTTGACCTTCAGGTTGTTTCATCTCCATAAGCCACTTGAGAGCCGCATGATCTGTCCTAATTAAAAATTCTTGGCCGTACAGATATTTATGAAAATGATCAACTGCCTTCACAATTGCTAGCAGCTCCTTCCGGGTAACGCAGTAATTCCTTTCTGGTTTGGATAGAACTCGACTGTAATATTCTATCACTCGTTCTTCGCCATCTTGCACTTGTGATAGCACTGCACCTATGCCGATATTGCTGGCGTCGGTATCCAGGATATACCTCCCTTGTTGTTTTGGGTAGGCTAAAATAGGACTTGAACATAAAGCCGCCTTAAGTCTTCCAAAGGCTACATCACAATCGGTGTTCCATTCGTAGCCGACTTCATCACCTGTAAGTCTATGTAAGGGTGCAGCTATATTGGCAAATCCTTTGACAAATCTTCTGTAATACGTGCATAAACCCAGAAAACTTCTCAGTTCATGCTTGTCGCTAGGTTTAGGCCAATCCTTGATTGCAGCGATTTTCTTCTGATCGGTATAAATTCCGTCTGCAGAGACTACATGACCCAAGAATTCCACTTGTCGCTGGAATAAGCTACACTTCTTCGGGTTCAAGTACAGGTGAGCAATCCGTATGCGGCCGAAGACTTCTTCTAAATTTCGCAAATGCTCCTCAAAAGTTCTTCCCATAACCAATACATCGTCGAGGTAAACCAAGCACATTTTCCAAGTTAATCCTCTTAACACCACCTCCATGAGACGTTCGAAAGTGGCTGGAGCATTGCATAATCCAAACGGCATGACCTTGAATTGGTATAGTCCGTTTCCTGTAGAAAAAGCCGTCTTTTCTTTGTCTTCCTCGTCCAGACCAACTTGCCAGTATCCACTCTTTAAGTCGAGAGTGGAGAACCAGCACGAACCTGCCAGTGTGGTTAACGTGTCGTCTATACGTGGCAGTGGGTAGCTGTCCTTCTTAGTGACGTCATTGAGCTTCCGATAGTCCACGCAGAATCGTGTACTACCATCTTTCTTCGTCACCAAAACAACAGGAGATGACCATGGACTCGATGATTCTTCGATAACTCCATCTTCTAGCATCTTATCTACCATTGTCTCCATTTCTTGTTGTTTGGAAAGGGGCACCCTTCTAGGACGTTGTTGAATCGGCTGAGCATGACCAGTATTAATCCGGTGCTTCACAAAATCCGTTCTTCCACTGTTATTTTTCTCAAAAATACTACCATGCTTTCGCAGGAACTGCTTAGCCTTCTGTTTCTCCTCAGATGTTAGGTGATCCCATGGCTGTTCTAGACGTATTAGTGTTTCTTTGGATGCCATTTGTGTAACAGCTGACGACACTTCATCACATCGGGTAACACTTCTTACAGGTTCGCAGATGGCTATCTTGTCACCTTTTTGAATCTTGACACAATTCGGGAAAACATTCGCAATTCTGATCGGTATATTCTTGTCCGTGTTCACCAATGACTTTCCTACCAAGTACCTATCTTGTTTCTTGTCGCCACTTTGTACCAGCCCAACACAGCACCCCGCGATTTTCTCCACTTTACCGAATACGATCTTCTCGGTATTACCAGGTATCACCACAGTTTCCGCTGATCTTACATCCATTATTCCTGGTCCCTCGTCTGGAGATAACATGAACCCTTCATTTCCAATATTTAAGATATTTCTCTGGTGATCGAACGAAAATCCATGTTGACGAATCACATCCATGCCCAAGATAAAGTCATCTTCAATATCTGCCACTAAAACGCTATGCTGGAACTTCAAATTTCCTAACTTCAGTTCGACGATAGCCTCTCCCCGTACAACGGCCATTTCAACCTTAACTGTACGTAAACACACTCTTCTTCCCAGAGGCATCAGCTTCAACCCTTGCACTGAGTTAGCTCGCACCAACGATACCATAGCGCCAGTGTCCACTGTCATTTGGATTCCCTTTCCATTGACTTTCCTGTCGATCACTAAACTATCAGCGGTTCTTCCTAAACTCCTAATGGAAAAAATCCTGGGGGCTCTGTTCTCCCCAGTCAATACTCGCCCCTTAGTATTGACTGATTTTAGTTTTCCTGGTGCCTACGTTCTCTGGATGGTGAACGGGATCGCATTTGGACACGGCAATCCCGTTTGATGTGGCCATTCCTGCCACATCTATAGCACCTGATTTCCTGGGATCTTCTATGGTTCTCTGTCTGGGTGTTGTTGACTCCTTTGTTTATTAGTAGCTCACATAGTTTGTCGAACTTTTTACACATCTCCTCCAAACTTCTGTGGGTACTCTCGGGCTGTTCCTCGACTGTTACTGATCTTATTTTCGGTCTAGGGATGGCGCTAAAAGCAGCTTCTATTTCCAGCGCCCTGACCAGTGCTTCGCTGCTGGTAGAAAATCGTGATATTTGTAGCGCCCTCTGTAATTCGTTGTCCCTCAATCCGCTGATAAAACACTG